CCAATGGCCGGGTGAATGATTTTCTAAATCGAGACCAACTTCTCTTGAACCTTTTCCATCTTGATGGTGATTCAGTGACTGTAAAATGAAGAAGTCATAAGATAAGAATATGGACATAATTAAAGGAATGTTAACAACACCATGAGTGGGTTTTTTTTAAATAGTAAGATAATAGTTTCTGGAAAATTCAAAATCATATTAAAAAGGCTTTTCAAGTATTAAATTAAATTCCCTCAGAAGGTGTGAATCGTTCATTTTTCTAGACATGTTAAAGTATCAACTCACCAGTTAATTCTTGTAACCGTTTTGTTAATATTCTGCCCGCTTCCTCCACCTTCTTTTTTAAAGTTTCAATGAATGTTGATGAGGTACTGGTACTAAGTCGAAATGGTGCTGGTGAGATGATCTTCGGATGAATAAAATGTAGTGCCTTATACAATAAAGAGGAAACGGCCCCTAACCTTTGAAGGGTTTTGATAATGGCAGGATCTGAAATAGAATATGTAAATGATTATGGGTAAGAAATATTAATTGATTTCACTTAAGCCACATATGATGTTGAAGATTTGGGGTTTTCTTGTAAAGAATAGAGTATAATTTTAACTTTTCATAATCAGAATCAGGTGGTTATGTAACAATCTGTAATGACCTCATTCTGCTTCCCATTCTAATATTATACAATGAAATCCATACAAATTACCTTCCAGTACCTTAATAAAAATTTACCTACCATCTAATATAGGAACTGATGGTTGGTTGTCTAAATCATTTGTTTCCAATGTTTCTGAAAAATTACAACAATCAAAATACTAACATTTTTCGATTAATCTCAAATAAAACAAAGTATAATATATATTCTATTCTATTATATTAAATGAATTGAAATTATCATTAGAGTACATTGCATGGAAGAACTGCTCAGAGGTAGAGGTTATATATACAAAGGGGATAAAGATGACAAATGGATCATGACAAGTAGGAGGTAAGCAAATGATGCTGACGGTATCGAAAATGGCTAATGTGGATGATGAAAGGTACATGGTAATGATGATGATGTTGATGATAGTGATTTGGATAGGGATGACTAAATAAATTACATACCAGTGTTGGTGATAACTTTGAACGGGCTATTCAAGTCATCTCCCGCTTCCTCCAAGAGGTTGTACAATGAAATGAGAAATGAAAATGATGAGTTTGAATCTAAATGAAATGATGGATCTGAAATGGAGGATGAGATGAAATGATTGGCCTTTTCCAACATGTAGGAAGCGATCGTAACTTTCTGCAAAGCTCGAGCAATAGCTATATCTGAAATAATATAATTTCACTGTTATAAGAAAATGAACAGAATGCTTGGACTCTTCCTATTTACTAATAGAATAACTATATTGAAATTATTGCTTTATCTCTATAGGCGTGTGATAGTACGATGGCTTGAATGACAAATCATTTTCACTCAAAATTCCATTCGACCTAGTACATTGGTACGGCTTATTCGGGAAAGATCATTGCCCAGATATTTGTGACCAGCTGGTATTAAGAATCCTTATGAACCTAAGTTGTTATCATTGTAACATAAAGTTGTTTCTTTCATGTTTTTAAGACTCAATTATTTGATGGTAAATTTGCTCTGAGGTGAACTATTGGATATTCTTACCAAGTGATAGAGAAACTGGTTGTAAATTATCTGAGCCTCTTGTTGCATTTAAATCTTCTGTGTTTTCTGTCGCCATTTTACCTGAAATAAATATTTAAATTGGATCTTGAATATATCGATCTATTCCTCTCAGATATTAACTCTGTATTATTTTTCATTTATATCTGTTTAACGTTTAATCGTTCAATCAGTTGTAGAGTAACCTTCATTTCGTGCTTTATAAGATTTATATAATACAATAATATAAGTATTAAAATACTCCATCAATATATACCCACAGTATATAATTTTGTTTTACAAGTTAAATTGAGATAAACTTATTGTAACGTTTGAGCTAAATATTTAACAAAGTGGAGCTATAAGAAAGATCGTAGTCATTAAAACGTGTTTGTCGTCAATCTCAAGTTTGTAGAGTCTAATTTTAATATAAATCTATGAGCAAATGTTGTTTTGGTTCCAGGTTCTTAGAAAACGAACCAGTATACCAGCAATCTGATCGGTCAGTCACTAAAATTGAGTTTATAGATTAACTAATCATATGGAATGACTATGTTTTATAATGTTGATTGTAGGTCTATCTTAGTTATGTTTTTAAGAAACAATTTTCATTTAATTTATTTTATAACTTACCTGAGAACAGAATCAAAACAAAATGAGTTTTCTTCACAAATATAATATAGTTGTATCAAAAACTAAGGTTTATCTTGATGTATCCAAACAAGACAATGATCACTAGAGGTGACAATCGACATGACGTCATGGCAACAATAACGTTACGTTATACTATAAAATTGGTACAAAATGATAATAATAATAATAATTTTAATGATACGATACTTTGGTTTGGTCAATAATCGATAGGTACCAACCCCACTGTGATAGAATTGGTTTTTCTTCAATTAACAGAATAGGATGAAATAGGCCTAACAAAGATCAAATTAAAGAATTATCCCCTTATCTTGAATTCATTTAAAAAATCTTAAAACTACGTATGATGTGTTGTTTGATAATTTTAAATCTTGGACCTTGGATGATTCCGATTCTGAAATAGCGTAAGATTGAGATGTTGTGTTCCTTCTTTCATCTATGTTGACTGTAGGGAACCGGCCATATTTGCTCCCATGACCCGGGCCAGGGGCCAGAATCGAACACGATAATCCCAAAATGTCGAGCCTTTCGCAAACTCTGCTTATCATTCATTAAATATCATCATTCATATCTATTCATCTACTATCATGCATCATCATTGCATAATCATTCATGATTTTAATCATCATTCATCCAACATCATCCATTATGTCCGTCATCATTTATTATCGCCATCATTATTAAACTTCAACGATCATTCAGAAAGGATATTTTACAAGTTCAATTTTGTTTTTTATGTCAATCTTCTTGAGAAAAAAAAGCAATTCAGCTCCTATATTATTTATAGGATACCAAACTCATTTGATTTTTTACAGACTGATATATATCATTTTTTATTTTGAGAAAATCGTTTTTCAATTTTGGTTTGTTACGCGTTAACGAAAAATAAATTTCCACTAAAACTCAGTTAAGGTGATCTATTTATTGATCTAATAAATTCTTGGCAAAATTTTGAGTGATCTTTGGACAGATAAAGAGATGAAGTCTTTAAGATCATACCTTTATGATTATTCCGGGTGTCTTCGTCCGTCTCCTGAGATAAGACATTAATTGCGACTGCATTACAACCTTGAAAATTAAAATAGTGAGCGACTTGTCCATCACATTACAATACCTTGACTGTAATAGTCTTTCTTGTATGACGGAAGTTTGTATATGTATCGATATTATTGGATTGCACGATACTGAATACAGTCAACCATAGTCCTCGACAAAAATGGTAAAGAACCCAGCTGTGTGTGTATTCAAGAGCTGAATTCGGTATCCTACAATTCAATCAAATCATAGGACTATAATGATCAAATGCATTTGCAAATTTCCGTTTATGAAAAAGATTGATGTCAAGGTATTAAACGAAGTTCGCAATAGCTTGACATTGTGAACTGTGGTATACTGTGATCTTGCGATAGTCAATAATGATCAAAGTAAACTTCATAAATTCAGTGTTCTAATGTAATGGATGCCACTTCTCTGGTTGCAATCTTCAAATTCCGACTCTAAGACAGCTTAAGACCTTTATTAAAATTAATGGCACATGTTGCCAACTGATATATACTAAATCAATGATTAAATTGTTTGTTTTTTTTACGGGTAGGATGTCAGATAAATGGATTTTTGGGTTTCTATTTTGGTATATGTGGTATGGAAACATTGGCTGTAATGAGTTTTGTGAGATATATTAAAATATGTCATAGAAGATACGGTAAGTACGTCCAAAATCTGCATGATATAAAGCGCAAAGATGAAAAGTAGAATACCTAGAGAAATGACTGAATCAATAATCAAATCCATGAATTTTATTGGTCAGAATACCTGAATATCTTGGACCAAACAGAAGAGAATATGAACATACTTGATCAATTCATAAAGGCCAAGGACTCGTATGATGCAAAAGAGGGGGTCGAGTTGCCAATTTTAACGGTATCGCTTCGCAGTTTGCGAGTCAAGACGAATTCTTTCATAGACGATGGCCACGGGCGCATTATTATCAGTAAATATATAGATTGACATCCTTCGCCAGAGTCAAGATACCGAATTTATTAATTGTCACGATTAGTGCCACCAATTTCTATCCAATTTATTTAATCAAAATTAGGCCCGAATTAATGTCTCGGTTCACCTTTTTTCATTCGTTACAAAAAGAAGAGATTCGTTAACGGTTGTTTAGATCATTTTAACTTGTTAATGGTCTAACCTTCAGATTATCAAATATAGCATTATGCCCGAGGCAACATAAGATCGTGTCCAACTGCCAAAAACAATGTTGCGATCGAGACTTCTAACGCAAAAAGCCATTAAACCACTGTATCAATATCCGACTGTGATAATTTCTAAGAACGGAAGATTATTAGTGTACTTTATCTCTTAATCAATAAAGAACCTTCAACTATCTTTTATTTTATTATTGTCGACCTCGAAGCGAAATTACCGTTAATTTACCGGAAATAAAAGATAACGTTTTGAATTCAAAATTGAAAAGATATTGGCACTTTAATTGCTTATGATTTTTGTACTTTTAGCATAGTACTGGATTTTTATTTTCGATATAAGGCAATGAAAGGGGCTCCAATGAATAATTTTGCAACCCAGTATTTCCCTGTCGACAATCTAGGTTGGAGGGTTTTGCTAGCGCAAGGGTGTTGTACACGTTCAAGATTACCTGAGATATTCAAGGGGGTGACTGATATTTCTCTGAATAGCAGTTCCAAGGGGCGTACGTTGGATACCTCTTTTGTTTTGCCTAGTTTAACACACACATTTTTATTTTTTCTCTTACAGCCGCCAGATTGAATGATTGTTGGACGTATTTCATGATAATTGCTATATATGTGAGTTGTGCAATCATCGCAGGATGTCCGTTTTTTTCGTGGGGAGAATATGATTTGGAAATATTCGGTACCTCGTGTTCAGTAGTTTGGAGGAAAAGAGATTTGGGATATATTACATTCATCATGATAACGTGTTTAGTCATACCCTTTTTTGTGATGTGTGCTTCGTATATTGGAATTGTACGAGTAACAAGGTGCTATGCGAAAGCGTCTAGATCCAAACATTCGTGGTCTAAGAGTGAACTGAGACT